TACTATCAGGACACATTTCACCTGTGAGCGTCCTCCAACACCTCACAATACTAGATTTGAGTGATAACAGGTTTTCAGGTCTTATTCGTCAGGAAATTCTCACTTTGCCTCTGGTGGAACGCCTAAACATCTCAAATAATCAATTCACGGAAATGGAGCCATTGCCATACCCCAGGGAAGGTTTACAGCTTCGTGTGCTGGACGCACACGCTAACAGGTTGCATGGTCATCTGCCCATCAGCTTGGTTAATATAGCGAATTTATCATCGATTGATCTATCCCATAATCAGTTCTCTGGACGAATCCCACTAGAATATGGAGCCAAACTGGGGAGTTCATGGAAAAGCTTGCTCTTAGAAGACAATTTTCTGATAGGAAATCTTCCACCACAGTTTATTAACGGGACAGTGGCAGTTAGAGCCAACCTTGCCCACAATTGCTTAAGGTGTCCGCCAAACATTCTGTTTTGCAGAGGAGGGCAAAGGGCAAACTCAGAGTGTGTCGAGCAGCGAGATCACAGCACTTGAGAAGTTACTGATAATTCACAACGGATCATCAAACAAATTCCATGTACTCAAGCTTATAATAAAGTCCAGTGAGGCAAGCTTCCACTTCCTAATCAAGGGTGGGATGCGAGTTTAATTTTCATCCAAAGTATAGTTCAGTGGTTCCAGCGAAGGAGAAGGTGTCATAATCTCTAGTCTTCATTAATGCATTTCCAGTGTTGAACAAATTTCCATTTATCCATTGGATAAATTAATTATCTGTAATGTTGGAACTTACATTTTATCAACACATCTTAATTATCTGTAATGTTGCAACTTACATTTTATCAACACATCAAACAACAGAGACTTTCCCAGATTCAATGTGGATGAAAAGAGCAGTGGATTCACATACTTATCAGCAAAAACAATCAGCTAATATTCCAAAAAATTCTGACATTTCAGAACTCCACAAATACATGTTTCTACAACATAACAGAGCAGTTTAGATAAACCAATTAACACCAACATTGCCAAGCCATGCAAAAAATGGGAACTGAACCAAAGCGATGAGGAGCAAGAGAAAATGGTGTCTGCTAGAATCAAAGCTCCTCACCTCTGCAAAAAGTACTCTCTTCATTGTCTTCACCAAGAAAATTCCCATGCATAAGCAGGCACATGGCATCAAAATGTAGTAAGAGTATCCAGATAAGATCTTTCCAAGGACAGCAAAACACATGCCTGTGAAGGTATACCCAGCATAAGCAACAATGTCTAGCAAGGGCGCCTCCCCGCTACCCAATGGAAGGAGTATCATTTTGAGCAATGCAACCTGCAAAAACCAGCCGAGCAATTAAATTGTATTTTTTTTCTAGCTTGTATTTAAAATTAAATTTTATAAAAATTATAGCAATATAACTTAATTGACTTGTTCAATTCATGAATAATTTGAACAATTGATAAAAGAAATTGATAATAAAATTTTAAAAAATAAAACTAAAAGAAAAGAAAAACCTCTCGAACAAATTCCTTATTTAAAACCATGTTTAAAATTAAATTATATCAAAAATTTTACAACTTGATTATTTCAAAAAAAAAATAGAGATAATAATAATATGTATTTTTGTATGTTTTGTTTTAAAATACATAAATTCACTAAAAAAAATTTATAAAGATAAATTTGTTTTAATTTTTAATCTTTTTTTATCTTTTTAACTAAATATATTTTTATTATATATATATATAATAAAAATATATTTAGTTAAAAAAGATAAAAGAAGATTAAAAATTAAATATATGTTTATTATATATATATATAATAAAAATATATTTAGTTAAAAGGATAAAAGAAGATTAAAAATTAAAATAAATTTGTCTTTATAAAATTATATATATTCTTTCTTAACTAAAGTTGCAAAATGTAATATGGGGATTGATTTAAAGCTAGGCTTGTATTACGAATAGAGAAGGTAAATCTAAATTTATCTAGGTTACCTGTATATGTTTTTTAACAAATAGTTTAATATGATATTATTTTTATAAAAATCTCCAAAATAAAATCAACAAGTTGATTCACCTTTTTTTTTTTTTCTATTTTTCCATTAACGCCGGTTTGACCGATCATGGCCAACCAGCCGAGGCAGTTTGGGTTGTACAAGAGAGAACACTAGCCTAACTGCAAAATCTTTCATTCATATATATATATATATATATAAAGATTTTCGGAAATTTTCTTTCCTTACATGAAACTCGTGAGGGTGTACAAGGCTCATAGGCCCCCGTACAGACCTATCAACTGTCAAGGCCTTATCTCCATGTACATTAACCCAATCCCTCCTTTCTCAACGCCAACACTAAACTATCAGGCGAATCCCTTGCCCATGTTTGTCTGTCTGGCATAACAGGTGAGTTTCGTACTCCATTGTTGTAAGTTGCAACGTTGCTCCATCTTTACACCACCCACATGGTTCTTAACAGTTTACAGATTTTGGTAATGTTGGTTTCTTTGGTCACGCTTTTTTCCGGTTGTTGTATATAACAGTTGTAAAAAGTTGTGTTTTTTTGGTGATTTATGGTGCTTTGGTTTGTTCTACTAGGCAATGCTTGGTCTCTTACTTGGGAATTGATGATGGAAGTTTAGAAAGGATTGTAATTCATGATGTTAGTGAACCAAAGAAAATTAAACAAAAGGATGGAAGGAGATTTCATTCCATTTTGAATCTTAGAGTGAATCAAATATTACCCTTTTGTCTGAAATTTCAACCTTTTTTACTTGAGGTAATGTTTGGTTTACTTAGGAATTGATGGTGGAAATTAGAATGATTTTGCTAATTGATTTTAGGAAGCCAAGAATGTTAAACAAAAGAATGGAAGGAGATTATGTTCCATTTCCATCATCTTGTGTGAACCAAAAATAACCCATTTGTATAAGATTTTTATCTTTTTTTATTTATTTTGATGAATATATTATCTATTTCTACTTGATATTGCAGGGGATTCCATGGAATAATATCAAAAGATATACTCAGTTTACTTGAAATTCTTTAGTGACTAATACGATTCTATTCACTTAATAAGAAAAAAATAAGACCCAAATGGCAATTTCTGCGCTAGGACCAGCTAATTCGCTCCGGTTAACCCCAGGGTCAACTCTCCGGTTGCTATCCTTCTACCCCAAATCAAACCCTAGTAACCTGTCTGGTATCCTCAAAACAATAACGAAGCCTCATGCCATACCTCCAAAGTTCCACCATCTATTGCAACTTTCGGGTTTGCCTTGTCGGAGGTTCTTCTGCAGTGTAATTTCTGGAGCTCTACAGTCTAGCGAGAGTGCAAAAGTGGAGAAGAAGGGTGAAATTGGGAATAGAGTTGGAGAATTTAGAAGGAAGTTGAAGATTGCTGATATAAAGGGTGGTCCAGATGAAGGGTTGGATCGTGTAGGGAATACCATCATTGTGATGGGTTGGGTTCGTACACTTCGAGTTCAAAGTAGTGTTACTTTTATTGAGGTAATAATGGTGGTTACTCTTATGATTTCCATGTTAATGTTGTTTTAAATTGTACTTTGTGATTAGCTGATTGGATCTCTGTTATTAAACACAAACAGGTTAATGATGGTTCATGCCTGTCAAACTTGCAATGTGTAATGGACTTGGAGGCTGAAGGTTATGATCAGGTATCACCTTATACAATAATTTGTGTATGTATAGTTTCTAGATTTTAATTTGCTCTGGAAGATAATCTCTTTGCACTTGACATCTAAGCTTCTCTTCTTAAGTTTGGTTGACAGAATCAAATTATCCTTTGTGTAAACAACTAGTAACAAGGACACTTCTGTTCACCTTCTTTTTTCTACACTTATTTATATGAAATTTAGTTTCTGAAATGTTGAAGCTGCATCAATTTTCTGTCTTTCAATAGAATTTCAAAAGCTCTCATAGTATGTTTATACAATGATGTATTCTTCTTTCATGTGGTCTTTATTGCTGTCACTTTACATTTATTCAAGCTTTGGAGCTTGTTAACAGGTAGAATCTGGCTTGGTAACAACTGGCGCGTCAATATGGATGCAAGGAACTGTGGTGAAGAGCCAAGGGTCAAAACAAAAGGTGGAACTGAAGGTCATCAAAATAGTAGCGGTATGATACTCTTAGGCATTCCTGGTAGATAGGGAGCTAATTTTCACTTGAACTCATCTATACATGATTTGATTACTTGCGTTTACTTAGTGTTAAGGGATTGCTGCTGAAATTTTTACATTCATTTTGTTCTCTCATGCCTTAGAAAGGGCTACTGCTAATTCTTATATCCCTCCACCCCCAGATTACAGAAAAGCTACTGCCAGTAAAATTGAATCCTTTTGAATTTATAATGATTGGCCTATCAGATGAGGCAAATTAAAAAATGGCAGGAAGAAACAGGGATCTAAAAAGAGTGCACTAAAGCAAATAGAAGTTATTAAGATTTTTCACATTTTTGCATCTTGTACAACTCAATTGAGTTGCAGTAAATCTGTACTTGTATAAGAACATACACTTTAAAGAAGCGAAAGAATGAACTCAAGGTCTTTGGGCGATTGTTTTCATATCTATTCTATCCCCAATGATATTCTAGATGACAAGCAATTGAAAAAACTGGTCCTCGTATATCAGGATATGGTTCTTTCTGTTTCTCATGTGATCTCTATCGGCATTTGAGTGTCAATCTACATGTTAGTTTTCACCGGAAACCTCCTTTCTTGTTATAGGTTGGCAAGAGTGATCCTTCCTATCCCATCCAAAAGAAAAGGGTTAGTAGAGAATTTTTGAGAACTAAGGCTCACCTTCGTCCTCGAACAAATACATTTGGTGCGGTATGGTTCTAGTTCTTTATTCTGTTTCCATGTTTTGGTTGGGTGTAGTGCCTTCTCGATGATGAATAACATTACCCACTTAACATGGCAAGCATGTTTTATACTCTCTTTTTTCCAATGGATCTTATTCTTCTTGATATTTTTGTCACCTTTGTAAATGATGCTAATTGATTCTAGGTTGCAAGGGTGAGGAATGCTTTGGCATATGCCACTCACAAGTTTTTCCAAGAAAATGGGTTTGTTTGGGTCTCAAGTCCTATTATTACAGCTTCAGATTGTGAAGGGGCCGGTGAACAGTTCTGTGTGACTACTTTGGTAAGCACCGCTTAAGTTGTTTATGACTTTTGATGGTTAATATCATATTTTCGCATATTTTATTTTCTTGTAGAAGCATTATTATTAAGATACTGAAGAGTACACCAAGATTCCTGTTATTAGCTGTAATTTGGTTTACATGGTTTGCTTCAATCCTATCTAACTAGTATTTTGAAACATACAAACATGCACAATTTTGCTAAAATTATGTACTTGAGGACAGAATGCACTTGACAAAGCTATGTAATTCCCCAGTAACTAACATTGCAAAATAGTTTTATAAAAATACTGTTGCCCTTATATTGTAGGGATTTCATTGTGCTTCTGAAAAATAATTTTAATGAACAGATTCCAGGTTCTCAAGAAGCTGTCAATTCTCCAGTGGATGGGATTCCAAAAACAAAGGATGGGTTAATTGATTGGTCACAGGTGATTTGAACATTCTTTTTTCTTGCTAGCATGCTCACAAGTACTTTAGTATAGCATGTCCCTCCCTCCATTCCCTTGTCTATCCCGCCACAAAAATCAAAGCGAATTACAGACAGGTTTCTTAAGGAACAAAGTACATCTTTAGCCATCAGAAAATTTTATTCTTGCATGTCCCCTGGCAAACCTTCATGTTAAATAAACATTGTGACTGAGAAGCTTGCTAGTTCTGGCAGCTGACATATTCCCCTCCCCCCCAACCAAACCAGCCAACTGAAACTGAGCTTGTCTCTACATCAATTTGGAAACATGGAAAGCAAGTTGATAATCTAGTGTTATTGAGCTCCACTGATATAGTTTTCATTGCCTTCATTGATTTCTCAGGACTTTTTCGGCAAACCAGCTTTTCTGACAGTCTCTGGCCAGCTCAATGCTGAAACATATGCCACTGCTCTTTCGGATGTATATATTTCCACTTATTCTTTGCTCATTATTTTAGTGTAAGATAGTAAATAAAAACTATTTGAACATTTTCTTATGGTGCAATTTTGCTCTTCTTTAGGTATATACATTTGGTCCCACGTTTCGAGCTGAAAATTCTAACACTTCTAGGCACTTGGCTGAATTTTGGGTAGGTGTACTTTGTTTTTTTCTCTGTTTTTTTAAAGAGACAAGTTTTGTTCTTCTGGATAATGCATTATATGAGTTTCATATAATTTTTCTGTTTCTTTAATCAAGATGATTGAACCAGAACTTGCATTTGCTGATCTGAATGACGACATGGCCTGCGCCACTGCCTATCTCCAGTATGTAGTATGTTGCTTTTCACATTTTCTCTATTGTCAATTTAACACTATACAGCTAAAGGCAAGCTTGCACATGCACTCACGCACACAAAATTACATATTTTTCCCATCCCATAATTGATTGACAAAACTTTATATGGAAGGTGAGGCATATCCTTGAAAACTGCAAGGAAGACATGGAATTTTTCAATACTTGGATTGAGAAGGGAATCATTGATCGATTGAGTGTATGAGCTCTCTAGTGTAACTTGTCTTTCCCCAAATTTTCTATCTTGTGCTTCATACTTTCCAGTTGTTTCAACACAATTCTTGTGTTGTTTTGGCTCTAGATGTAATTTCCATATTTTTCTTACACAATTTTCTTTGCTTTATACAGGATGTGGCTGAGAAAGACTTTGTTCAGTTGACTTACACTGATGCAATTGAACTTCTTCTGAAAGCAAAAAAGAAGTTTGAATTTCCGGTACTACATACTAATCGTGATATTTAGACTTTTCTGGTGACTATTTCTTGCAGATGCTGTTGTGTGTCAGTCTGCAGTTACTACTAACTGTGTCTTAGATTAGATCAGAAACTGTATTTCTATGTTAAATTTCCTTTATTTTTCCTGATTACATGCCAGAAATAGTTATATCATACTTGTAGTATCTTAAACCGAAATGCATATATGCTGATTATGCCTTTGATGTTTGTCTTGCACTTGGTTTCTATTAAGATTCATCACTATTATCGGTTTCTGTCTCATCTGAGTAATGAAAAGATCACTTATTGCGGCCTTGATTCGTTACAGTAATGAAATGTTGTCTGATTTGGCAAGATGACACGTTAATTGACTATGGTGAGCCAGAGGATAGGCATCATAGTCTTTTTGATTGATTGAAGTTGCAGCTTAACCATCTTAAACTTTAACTATGAAGCCTTGATTTGATCTTTCTATGGTTGGAACTGCTTTAGTAATCTTTTAAGCCAATTTACCATTCCTTAACTAATAAATGAAGATTATACAGAGTATTTACTGCTTAATAATGAATCTGTGACCTGTAGTTGGAATGGGGATGTGATTTGCAAAGCGAGCATGAACGATACATAACTGAAGAGGTATTTGGTGGGTGCCCTGTCATCATCAGAGATTATCCAAAGGTATGCATCAGACTGCCGCCTGTTCCACATTACTCCGCTTTTAAAGCAAGTGAAAACATATTGTGGATTGTATATTGTCCTTGGAGTTAATGTTTTTGTCCTGCGGCTCTTCAATCTAAAACTCTCAGGACATCAAAGCATTTTATATGCGGCAAAATGATGATGGTAAGACTGTTGCTGCCATGGATATGCTGGTTCCTCGGGTAAATATCCATTTCCTGATTCCATTTTAACTTATTTTTTGACTGTCAAGAGACTATTGGTTGTCATATTCTAAAGCATTTAATGACCTCATCACAATGGAGTGGATTGCATAGAGCAAGAAACTATTATGATTTACTTCAACGTGAGCCCTTGTTAGGGAGGTTAAAATGAATTATTTGGGCATAAGTTTAGAAAAAACAGAATGCAGGGGACAAGGTGTTTAGCAAATGTTATCCTAGTGAAATGTATCATGTAAGAATTTGTTTTATTTGTCAGGTTGGTGAGCTTATTGGTGGAAGCCAAAGAGAAGAACGGCTGGAATATATAGAAGATCGTTTAGATGAGCTAAAGCTGAACAAGGAGAGCTTCTGGTGGTATCTTGATTTGCGCCGTTATGGTTCAGGTGAGAAATTTCAATTTTTGAAGTTCACAATTTCTCTTAAGTTGCTGAGGTCTGTGCTTTGAAGCTGATGGTCTAATTTCTATCTTGGTCATTTGAAGATTTTGGTTCTGAGCATTTCATTTCCATTTTGAATTTCTCCAAGTTCTTGGAAACTTCAATGAAGTACGGAAAACAATTTGATGTCAGTTTTTATCCTACATAGAATTCAGTAGTACACTGCATACAATGCATGGTTTTCAGGGATTTTTCCTTTTTTTGTTCGATTGCTTCAGTGTCCTCAAGTAGTTGAAAATCTGCCTAACATGCATTTTTCTGATCTCTTTTGTTTCGGTATGCTCAGTTCCTCATGCAGGTTTTGGACTGGGTTTTGAAAGGCTAGTTCAATTTGCTACAGGAATAGAAAATATAAGAGATGCGATACCTTTCCCTCGGGTACCTGGTTCGGCTGAATTTTAATGGATATCTGATTTGATTTTCTTTATCCTTCAATCTTCTCTTTTGTTATACCTGTTACTTCAAATCATTGGTCTTTGTTTGCTCCTCCCTTTACCAATTTTGTCTTTTATAGCTCCAAAACTTCTTAGGTATACCTGTTAATTCAAATCATTGGTCTTTGTTTGCTCCTCCCTTTACCAATTTTGTCTTTTATAGCTCCAAAACTTCTTAGGTATACCTGTTAATTCAAATCATTGGTCTTTGTTTGCTCCTCCCTTTACCAATTTTGTATTTTATAGCTCCAAAACTTCTTAGGTAGCATAGAATATTTAAGTCTCAAGTTTGCTGCCTTTATCCAGCATGATGGTTAACATGCTATGCACAATATATGAAGTGATTAAACCAATTGTACATCCATTTATCACTGAATCACAATCTGACTGCGAGAATTCCCAGCATGATATCTGCTACGAGTCCTGAATTGCCTATCGATGAGTCTAGACGAGTGCTTTAACATGTTCCTGCCAACACTGCTAATTGATTGATAAACAAACTTAATGGACAGCTCATGCTAAGTCACTCAATGGTTCTGGCCAAATGAGAAGCCATTAAGAACAAAACAATGGTTCTGCATGTGTGCATTGCATGGACTGTCATGTTCTGAGGGAAATGTGCTGATCACATTCCAAATTATCAGCATTAGGTGTGAAATAAGAGATGATTCAACTACAGAATCTGAGGTCAAATCAAGAGTTGTGTCCCAGTGGTTCCTTAACTAAATGCCAAATTTTAAATTTGTGATGGATTCTTGAGGCTTGGTTGGGATGGTAAGTGAATTTGTCATCGTGAGTTTTTTCCTTTGGTTCGAAACCAAGGGAGGGAGGCTATTATAGAGTAATCTCCCATGTTTGGATTATTGTGGATTTGAAAGTCTATCTAAAATCTGATCGAGAAATGATTTGGAGCTGGTGTCTGAAATGCTTAAACATTTGAACAAAAAAATCAAGAATTTTGATTGCATAGCATCCTCTACAAAGAATCATAAAGCCTAGCTAATAAGTTGTGGTTTATGGACCTCCCTGTTTTTCAGACTGAGGCTCTTTCGATTTAAAAGCATGTATCCAACCTACCCTTGGCTTGACAGGCTTATCTGGTATTCTCTCAACTTAAAACTAATCTATTAGTTTTAAGTCTGGCCTAAATATATATTATTTTGAAAAGGTCCAGAGATTGATCCAATAAAACCCGAAAAAAATCTTGACAATTGCTATATATATATTATATATAGTTAGTTAGTTAGTCAACTTAGAGTTTGGTTTGATTGGTTTATTTTATAATTTATCAATATAAGACAAGCTTGGTGGGTCAACCTAACAACCCATTAATTATAAAAACTTGTTTGATATTATGGTTAAAATGATGTTTATTTAAATTTTAAATTTTTTAAATTATTTTAGTGTTTTTTGGATTATTTTATTATATTGATATAAAAAATAAACTTTAAAAAAATAAAAATATTATTATTTTAATATACTTTTATACAAAAAAAAATATTTTCAAATATAATTTATATCATACTTCAAAAAAAAACTAAATTAATGCATAAAATCTAAATAAGACCTTGTCAGGCCAGCTTTAAGGGTTTTTTTTATTAATTGATTCAGATTAAATCAGCAAAATTGTGAACTTGGAGGCTGTGATAGCCATGTTTAAATGAAAAGAATCACTGAAGCCTAAAGCAGGCAAGTAAACGACGAGTCTTTAGATGAAGATTTCTGCTTTGGACGACCTGTCACCTTGTTGGATTTTTGGGCAGAAAGAAAGTTGTCCTCCCCCGTGTGTCCAGATAGAAAAAAAATATGGAGGAAGCAATAAAAGTGTTGGGCTCTGCTCTCTCTCACATCAAATGGCGCCTCAAATTTCCAGCCAAAAATCGTCTTCAAATAGGTCCCTCTCATCTCTTTATGATATATAGATTTCTGGGTCTCTTTCAAAATCTGAACTTGATTTCATTTTTGTGGTTTTTCTTTGGGGGTTACCTTCGGCAGATATTGTAGCTTTGCTGACAGAAATGAGGCCAGTTATAATGGTTGACTATGGTGGAAAGTTGCCCGAATTACAAGACCATCTTTGTGCTCTTGTTAAATTTTGTCAACAGGTATTCTGTATGTCCCGTGTTGTCCTAAAAATTGTCACTCTTTAAGACAATATAATGCTCAAAGACATAAGCTTTTGCTGCTTTGATGATAAATTTTGTTTTTTTGTCCTGATTAGGGCGTAATATTAGTTTTGGTTAAAATCTTTTAAATTTCGATCAAGTTGGTTTTTGATAAACTATGTGATTCTTAACTTGTTAGTCTTGCTGTTAGTGTTGTGCCTTTGAATTTCCTTTTTGTTCCCTGATTGCCATTACTACGTTCTATGTATAAATTTTGCAGGAGTCGGCTATTTTTGAGAATCTTAGAGTGATGGTGATAGAAGATATGATATATCTGATACATGTAAGAGAGCTTGCTGAGTATGTTAAGTCAAGCTTGAATTTGGAAGTAGAATTGTTCTTCATCAATCTTGAAGAGGATCCTCCCAAGGTTGCTGTCTTCTTTATTCTTTTATCAAGTAATAGAGCATTTAATCATTTGCTGCTTGACACGCAAATTCTGCCGTGAATCTGTCTGTGATTAAGAATCTTTTCTTTTTTGTCTTCTTTTTTTTCCTTACAAAGATGGTAACACAAGCGGAGGAAAGTACTTTAGTTACAGAGCTTATAAGAGTTCAGAAGTTGTTCTCTTCATTTTTTCCCTTGAATGGAAATAGCAGTGACCTCGTGTCACATCAAATGCTAGATAGTGTGGCTAATGCTGAATCCTCCATCAATAAGCCTGCCACTTCTCAATCATCTGAGTTCGTTGATCTTAGTTGCTGCATGCAGGACACCGAGATCACTGTACCAACTTTAAATGGGTAATTTCCTATTTTAAAGAAATGTTTTGATTCAGTCTGTATTAAAAATGTGTTTACTTCATCATAACTGATAGACATCTGATAGACCATATTCTTCTATATTCTTTACCAATATCAACTGTATAAACACGCATGCGATGTGTTAATAGCTTTGTATTTGATGCAGTAAAACTGAATAACTGATTTGCTTGACACAGTAACTCAGTTAGCGCAGCAAGTGTTAATACAATCCTGTTATAGTGCAATAAAACCGTTCATCTAATGTGCTTCAGATGGCTCCTTGGCTATCCAGTCGTGTACTTGTTCAGCAAGCAGCACATTGAAGATGCCATATATAATCTTTCCACTAAATATCTTCGTATCTTCCAAATTACAGTCAGCAGGTTTGTTTTTCCTGATTCTCCTCTGTTGATTATAAGAATTACTTGTAGTGGTCATCAGAACAATATTAATAACTGTTTGGCCAGCATACTGTAGAAGCCTTCCATCTTTGAAGTCAGCTTTAATTCACCTCTCCAATTCTTCATTAAAATTCCATCACTTTGTTGGCATCTAAGAAAGTGATTTTGTCCAAGTGGAAATTTCATGTGGTTGCGATACTTCACAAAGATCTAACTTTGTTAACAGGAGGATAAAAAAAAAGAAGATTTTTTGCGTGAATACTATCTGAATAATCTTTGTTAACAGAAAGATAGTCAGGTCGTTTATATAGTGCTTTGGAGTCTGATTTGGACAATCTGCCAAAAATATGATAGTGGTCTTCAACATCACGAAGCAAAATGCATGTTTATAGTTGGTGAACAGTATGAGATAGTTTCTTATCAAAGATGCTGCTAGGAGTAGTGGATAGTGTCAATTGATGCTAAAACTTTATTAAGGACAACCAAATCATGGTTCCTGCAGGTATGCTTCACCGAAAAAAGGATCTCAGCCAGAAGAACTGCTGAGGTAATACTCTATTCCATATTCTATTGCAAAATATAGGCAGTAGGTGGCAAAGATGTGTTAAGTTTGACTAGAAATTTGTAACAGAGACCAAGATAAAGGAACAAAATATTATAAGAGATGAAAAGTTGGATGCGGTGGTGGAGTTGATAAGATTGCAACTGGGTTTCTGTGACCTTGCAGATAGGAAAATGAAAGAGAAAAACAGAGGTACACGAATGATTTTGCTAGTGAAAAAAGCATAAGAAAGGAGGGTTATCCTATTATAAATGTGTAATCTGGTTGGGGTTCCTTAAAGCTGCTGCCAATCTGAACTAGCCTCGATTTTTCATCCTTATTTACACAAACCAGCCCATCCCCGTTTCATTTCTCCTGTGTAAGGGATCAGTTTGGGGCAAGACAGAGCAGGTGACCGGTTAAACATCGGAGATCTCATCTGCGGTCATTTAGATATTACTTGTTTAGTGCTATACTCGTTCTGAACATCTGCATGCTTGTTTCAAAATGTTGTGACAGCTTCTCGGTGCCATATGAACTGAGCATGGGAGGAAGCAAAGAACCATGGGCCGTGGCATTTCTTGCACAAATGCAGACAAAGTGGGCAAAATGCAAGCCAACTTGGAGGTCCTTGAAGATGGAGGTGAGTGAGTGCTATCCACAGGCAATCGTCTTGTAGCAATGACCCGTCAAACTCCAACTCTTCAAGCCTGCAGAAGGAAGTGGAGGACTGGTTTCTTTGCTCAAATATAATTATTTTGTTGTGTCGGTATGCAAAATGTCATCGGAGGATACCTTATACTTAAAAAGAAAAGGAACGAAGATATCCTCTGAAAATGATATTTCCTATTTATGTATTTATGACAGACCTGACTGAGTTCCATCGTTTTAATTAATCCGATTTTCGCTGATTTGAAATGAAACTCGGTTTCAGTTCAAGGTTGTTAACTCACTAAATCAGGCTTCTTAGCCATGTTTTATAACTAGTGATGAATAGGCATACAACTCGATTTTCATTAAAATTTAATTTTTGTCTTAAATTAATTATGTTTTTAATATCTCTACATTATGTTTTATATTATTTTAATACATAAACAACGTCTGCAACTTTTTGGTTTGGCAGGAATTTTAGCTTTAAACAAATATAATATTTGGAGAAAGCTAACACTCAGATGATTGCTGCTTGATGCCCAAGATCAATTTGTTTAAAAGAAAAATTTTATTTGGCAAGACCTTAAAGCGCAAGTCTTTTCCATCATTACACTCGAGAAAAATGCGAAAATTTGAGATTGCAACAGCTCTTCGATTGAATTGAGAACCAGGAGCTGGAAAGGAAAGGGATAAAATGCAGTGCGGATTAAAAAAATAGAAGTTTATTTTCCTTCGTTAACCAGTTTGAGGACAGCAGCCGGAGTAGGAAGAGCAGGGATTGCTCCCTTTTTGGTGGTTGTAATGGCTCCACAAGCATTTGCAAATCTAAGTATCTCTCTCAACCTTGGCTCATCCTGAAAATGATGTCAACAAATGTAAGAGACAGCAATACAAGAATTGCTTCTTATTACCAATCTAAATGGAGATGGATGGTTTACAGAATTTACCTCAAGCACAGATTGGTCATCAACAATCTTGCAAAGGAGAGCACCAACAAATGCATCACCAGCACCTGTGGTATCAACGGTGTCCACATGGAAAGCCTCAACTGATCCATGGAAATTCTGTATTTGAACAACACAATTGGAGAATATTTAGAAAATCAAGTCCGTTTATGGTTCAATAGGATGTTCATTCAACCAACATTTGTGCTCACATCTGGCAACTATTTATGGCACAAAGTCTGAGTCTCCTGTCAAACAAGACAAGAGCACTGTTCTTGAGTTGCTGGGAAATAACACAGCAACTAGATTGGTGCAGAGATCACATAGCAAGCATTGACTTTTTGAATGCCCCCCAAGAAGGAAGTTTGTTTTATGATTTAACTTGAAGACGATCAATCTTGTAACCCAAAAGAGAAGAAGCAAGTTTCCAATCTAATCATATAAATACTTATTTCAAGCATTTTCCCTGTAAATTGTGTACAAGAATCATCCATATTTCCAGTAAATGTTTCCTGTTATCAAACAAATCAATTTAGCATATTAACAGAGCTCCAGGTTCATCCAAAGCATCCCCGCATACGCTTCTTTACGATCTAGACAATAGCTTCATCCCCTTAGCAAGTAATCTAGTTAGGTAAACAATTTATACTTTAGTTGGCCGCACTCCACTATGCTTAGGATATAAATAAATGCAAACCAAAACTCCCTTTCAACATGCAGAGTGGGCCAAGCACCAACCACCATATACACCAAACAAGGCAGCTAAATCCATTTGAGTGGTTGGAGATTTTGACCTAGATAATGACAACACACGCCTAAATGGACATGCCTGGTTTCTGACCTAAGCCAGTAGTTTTTTCAGCATTTAAGGGATTTCTTGATCGATGTCACTGCATGCTTATTTGACCGCTATTATGTTCCAAACAAAATTCATGCACATAAGCTTTGATCATGATTTCAAAATTAACATCATTAAAAGCAGGAATTAGGACTGCCGACAAGTATCAAATCCTACAAGATTAAAGCATACTCCTTGTTAAATAAATCAGGTTTGTATCCCTAATTAAAGCAAGTTTACTAAAATATATGGTCTTGCATCTGAGAAAAAGCATGAGATCCAACACCCCATTAGCAAGTAGCCTCATAGACAGTCAGAAATTCATCGCCTACCCTTCTTCCGGCCAAAATCCCGGTTGGATGACAATGTAACAGACAACATTGCTTAAACAAAGATCATATCATGGTTAACCAAAAAAAAATTAAGAATCCGACAATGAAAGACTGAACTAAATTACTCACCTTGGTGTAATAATTGCAACCCTTTTCACCAAGGGTGACCAAGAGCAACTTAAAGTTAGGACGCCAAAGTGACAAGGCAGTTTCATCATCAATTTTGTCACTTCCAGTGAGGAACTCAAGCTCATTATCACTGACTTTGATCACATCTGCCTCGTCCCAGATGCTCAATATCTGCTCACGCGCCTCCTCTTCTGATGGCCACAATGGCAGCCTCAGATTTGGGTCATACGAAAGCAATGCACCTGCATCCTTCGCCACCCTCATTGCCTGTAAATGTGCTGATCTGCATGGCTCCACAATCAAACTTATTGATCCATAGTGGAAAACCTTAGCCTGTATACACAAAAATAAAAGACAACACTTATGATAACATTTTAAGCGCGTGGGCAAACACAAACACAATCAATAACATAAATACAAGATTTTTCCGCAGGTTGACTCAAAAACCCGCGACAAAAGACCGATCCAAACAAGGTTTTAAATTAATCTTTGTGAAAAATGAGTTCTTCATCAGATTTTTTTTACAATTGACTCGGCAAAACTAACACGGGTCAAAATTAAAAAACAAAAAAAATTATTTTAAAAAAAATAATGGACACGAATTGAAACAATTACCCGATAAAGCGGGTCCTTTTCCGGGTATAAAAGGCTGTGATTTTAGCTATATTTTACACACACTCTGCAAATTTTCTAAATACAATTCTTTTTTGCTATATATAATATTTTCCACCAATTTTAACCGCAGTAATAAAAAAAATTCACTGTAAAAATAAAATCTTTAACCATAAATCATTTACGGTAAATAATTAAGACAGAAAATGATAACACTTACAGATCTGATTAACTCAAGATTTAACTCTTCTGGCCTTAGTAACATATCAGCACTTGGATTTCTATAAAACATGAACTCACGCTCTCCATCAGCGCGTAGAGTAACAAACGCGAGAGCAGTCCTAGCACCAGTGTCAAAATTTATCCCCGTAGCGATCACGCCGTTTTCCTTCAAAATTCCGGCGAGCATGTTGCCGAACTCATCATCACCGAGTTTTCCAACAAATGCCGTCTTTCCCCCCAGCCTCGCTACCGCTATCGCCACGTTCGCCGGAGCACCACCCGGTGCCTTCACAAACCCCGGAGCTTCAGCGAGGGAGACGCCAGAGACCGTCGGGACGAAGTCTATCAGCATCTCCCCGAAGCTGACGATCAGTGACTTGTCGTTCACTCCATTGGAAGCCATTGCAAGAGAATGAGAGGGACGAGAAGGAGAGTTGTGTGTTTTCTAGATAGAGAAAGCAGAGGAGGGAGTGGGGGGGAGAGAGAGAGAGAGAGAAGGGAAGGGAAGAGGGGTTCATTTATAGAGGGAGAAAGAGATCAAGTGGAAATTTTTTAATTAATGTTAATGACGATAATCAAGGTTTATGATTTTTAATTGTTTTTGTTGATATTGTGGATTTGTTTTAAGGGCCCACAAGTATGGATATTTGTTTTTAGGAATATGATAAATAAAATATGGATGGAGAAGAGTTTAAATAGCACGGATTTTTAGATGGAGGTAACGGTTTTTATTAATTTTTAAAATATTTTTTTATATAAAAATAATATTCTTTATTTTATAAAAATATATTTTTGATATTATAAGATTTTTTAAAAATAAAAAATTATTTTTTTGTCAAATGATATTTGAACTGGATTTTAAAATTCTATTATAGAATATAATAAAGTATGCTTGAATTAAAATTAGATGGAATTTTTTATTGTAATATCCGAAATGAGATTGAAAAACAAATGGGGTTATAGAATTAACTAATAGTTTGTGGGATTAATGTAAATTAATTATTTTTATTAAATAATTTTATTTTATTAAAAAAATACTTTAAATTAATTTAATTAAGTTTTTACCAGTCAACTAAATTATTAAAAATCAAATCAAATTAAATTAGTTTTATTCTATATAATATGTTTTTTAGAGGGATTAATTTTATAAATAATAGATAAGGATATTTTTTAAACTCGTGGATTAGGTTTCTTGATAATATTAAAAGTTGACCAGGAATTGCAGCATAACTATATGTACATATTTGCGCATTAAATTTCGGATAAGCTTAGGATACAGAACTATGAAAGGTTTTTTTTTAAGATAAAACTCATTTTATATATATATATATATATATATATATATTGGATAAACCCGTAACCTATGGATAATTGTCAAGTTATAGTAAAAATTTATTAAGGGTTTTGGTGAATTTACCGCCAGATTAGTATTTATTAAATTAGTTTGCATTTGGGATATTGGCTAAAGTGGAAAGTAAATCTGCTCCTACATTATAATTTATTATTATTATTATTATTATTAATGGAGATAGTAGAAGGAGATTGTGGGATAAATTCACATGAAGAAAAGTTATCGGGTGATCCAATTTCATTAAAAAAAAAGAGAGAGAATGATGACTTATCCAAATTAATGAAAAAAAGGAAAATAAGAATATATGGTAAATTTTCATTCAATACATTATACTAAGATTTTAAATGTCCTTGCTTTTATATTAATTTGAGTTTTCAATAGAATATGTTATCAAATTGTTGCATAATCAAGTACTAAAAGAAAAAAAAAATCTTATCATATATCACATACCCAGCAGTGTTTGGTATTCTGGTTGAAAAATAATTTTATTTTTTAAATTAATATATTTTTAATATTTTTAGATTATTTTAATATATTAATGTTAAAAATATTTTTTTTAAAATAAAAATAATTATTTTAATATGTTTTTAAATAAAAAATACTTTAAAAATGATTACTACAATATTTTCAAACAATCTTTTATAATTAAATTAAAAGAAAAGCATTGATCTTCAAAATTTAATTAAAAAGTTAAATTAAAAAAAAAAAGAGAACACACTTTATAATTAGATTAAAGAAAAAGCATTGATCTTCAAAATTTGATTAAAAAGTTCAAAAAAAAAAAAACACAATTTGACCTGGCTGAATTGAGTCAAAACCAGATAAACTAAAATCTTAGAGCAAGTTTTACAAATTTAAAGCGAGAGTTGTAATTAACCGGGTCAAAGTAGGTTGACTTTCCTGTTGATTACAAACCACTGTTTTGCTTGTTGTTTTGATGGATAGTTTTCACCCATAGTTTTGTCATTAAATAATTGGGTGCATGTATGAGGATATGTACATGGTTCATGATTTTATTTTTTATTTTATTTTTATTTTATTTTGTTCTTTTCTCAGCTGCAATATTGTCAGCTGTCAATCTTGCTACCGTATTGCCACTGGAAAGGGAGCATGAAATTCATTATATAAAATTATCAATAAAATATTTTTTTAATATTACACGCATACACTCTGATTGGGTTGTTGAGATCGTGTTTATCTTAATTTGTAATCTTATATTAAAGGACTGCCACGTATACATATCATATATAGTCATATCTATTTTGTCGCAAATGTTTTTGTTTGTATTTGATCTAAATTTCTTAAAACATAAAAAATTAATATCTAAATTGTGAGCATTTTTCTGATATTATTATTAAATATAATATGACTGTTTAAACCTGAAAAAATCTTGATTTGGCTCTTTAATTAATTTTCAGTCAATCACAACTCATATTATATATTTCACCAAATCGAGTTTTTATTATTATTATTATTATTTAATAAAATAATTATGTAAATTAATTTATTTTCATTCAATTAAATAATAAAATATAAAAATCATAAATTAAATGATGAAATTAGTAAAATAAAATAAATTTAAAAAGCTAAAAATTCTTAATTTGATTTCTTAATTAATATTTAATCAACAGATCAAATGTATGAATCGTATTATAAATTTTATTAATTAAAATTAAAATTTTATTTTATTATGAAATAAAAATATAATTTCCCACTACCCCAATTATAATAATAAAATTATATATATATATATATATATAAAAAAAACCTGAAAAAAAAGCAGCAAAGATGAAACACCCAGCCACGTCCATACGAGCTTTTCTAAAAAAAGTCAGGCACGTGTGTTTGAGAGAGTCCACGCGCTCAGCAGATCATCCTTTAAAAAAAAGAAAAAATAAACACGGATGACAAGTAATTTATATTTTGTTTGAAAGAAAATATATGCCTTATTGAACTTGAACTCGCATCCTCAAGTTGCGTCCCATGCTTTAACTCAGTTACAACTCAAACTTGATATAAAATGTTTAAAATAATATATTAATCTAGTTCGTTATTTGTATTAAAAGTTAAATTAATTTCATATCTTTTTGTTGTTTTAGTAATCAGTAATGCACAAGTGTTATTTAATTATATAAAAATTATAACCTATGATATATATATATATATATATATTCCCAAGTTTGCATTTTTTTAATGTAAAACGGGAAAAAAAATAAACATATTTCCATCTTGTTTTTTTATGTTTGAGTAGGCAAATGCCATGCTATGATATGTCCAAAAATATTTTTAAATGGTCAAATCTATTTAAAAAAATATAAAAATAATTAAGTTACATACATACATACATACATATATATATATATATATATATACACATACATATATATGGAACATCCAAAAAGGAACAGGATCTTGTTTGCATTTTTCAAAACCACTCTGATCTTTGTCGCGTAGTTTCCTTCAATGACATTGGTACGAATCTACGTAATTCTATTTTACTTGATTATTATATAATAAAAAATATCATCTTTATTATATAGTTAAAAGCTAAGCATATTTTCGATAAATAAAAAATAATATTATTGAGCTACAAGAATATTAAAAAATTTAGCCAATCAAGGTAAGGTATGATATCTTTCCCATCTTTATATATATATATAACAGATAAGTATTGTATAAAAGAATATTTATTGTTGTAGTAGTAGTTGGTTTTAAAAAGAATTTTTTATTTAAAAAATATATTGAAATATTTTTTTAATTTATAATTTTTATAACACATCAAAATAATTTTAAAATATTTAAAAAATAATTTAATGCAGATAAAATTTAAAATGTCAACCATAAATTCATTAAAATCATAAAAATAATGATACAATTTCTAAAAAAGTGGATTCAATATTTATAATCTCATTATAAAATTTAATTATCAATAAATCTAATATAAAAAAATAAAATTAATAAAAAAATAACAGTAAACTCAAAAAAGCAGCGTGGATAAATTTATCAAATTCAAGTATCCAGATCATGTTTTAATATTTCCTTGCAAATACTGCATTCCCTGTTGCAAAGCACATCATATGAAATAAATATATTTTAGAATATGAATAGCATATTTCATAAGATATGCTTTGACATAAATATTTTATAAAGTATAATGTTTCCTTGCAAATACTGCATTCCCTGTGGCCTTGTTTCCCCCCTCTTCTATTCTTTATTGCAAACTCAAACTTTAATGTAAAAAAAAAAAACTAATGAATTATTGAAACAAGGAGACAAAATATGACTCATGGGGCAGGTTAACAGGGTCCCACATCGTGTAGGCCATGCACATTGTCATCATGAGGATGAGACATGACTCCACTCAACCTCCACAGCTAAGCAACACCAACCTTTTTCAAGGACATGATCAGAAGACTTATGATGCATGTGGGTGGTCAATTTAGGGTTCGTTTTAAAGAAAGTAATAGTGGTTTAAACTAGTTTTTTAATTTAAAAATATATTAAAAAAATATTTTTTTAGTATTAACAAATTAAAAAAACTTGAAAAAATTTAAATTTTAATGTAACATGGTTTGAACCAAGTTTGAACAACTTTGTGTGTTAATTTTTTTTATTAATATAAATATTAGAATTAATTTACGTATATTTTTATTAATTTTATCAGTTTTGAAATTAATAATTATATATATTTTTAATAATTTTAAAATTTATAATAAGTAAATTGATAATTTTTTTAAAAGAATTAAAATTAAACTATAGTTAACTTGCCTTGAACGGGAAGCTATATGCCCGGTTTGTCCTTGTGGGACACCAGTGTAGTTGTGCTGTAATTGGTGTATGGGTTTATGCGTAAACAGAACTAATATCAAGAAAATAAAGCGGAGGTGGACTTGTCAACGCGCGCGCGCACAGCTGCAAATTAAGATCCAAGCAGTACGTCCTTTTTATCCAGCTAGCTTCTCTGTCAGTGGAGCTTTTTGCAGGTTTCAATTACCTGTCAGGCAGTGAGTTTGCTGAGGCTGTGTGCCAAGGAAAAAGGATTTATAGCTTTAGAACTTCAGGGCACGTTTGTTTTGTATAAAGCATTTTCTATGAGAATATTTTATTCTTTATGAATTTTTTAAAATGACTTGTTTTTTATTATTCATAAA